TTCCAACGTATTGAAATAAACAGCAAAGGCGCAATTTCTTCACTTCAAAAACTTGCATTTAATTACAGATATTATTCCTCGGGAAAATGTATCAATTACATATTTGGAACAGAACTCAATATAGCCAGACACTGTTTCGACAATGCCTTATAATAATGTATTAAGATATCTTTCTATTTGCATGGTTGCGGTTCTCAATTTTGTGTAAACACATCATGGATAAAACAAATGAAAAACTCATTCACCGGCTTTTTCGAAGAGCACAGCTGAAACGTTTCGATAAGTTTTACATAAATGACAACAAATATATAATTGCTTTGTGCGAAAGACAGCAAATTAGGACACAAAAAATGTTATCTTCATTTTTCAAAATGAAGAATCCTAACCGCAAGCATAATCTTGTAATAATTCAACGGGTTGATATAGGGTTTAGATAAAATCATATATAAGTGTCAAACCTGCAAGAATTTTCCATGGAAATATTAAACAATAGCTACTGTCAAAACATACATATTATTAAGTATACACCTCTCGCTCTTACCGTTTTAAATCTAGACAACTTCACGAAATTTGGTCATCGTGATGGCATATCATAATCAAACTCGTTGTGCTCGAGACAGAGAGAAATCCATATATCAACAATATAGATTGCAGAATATTTGACACGAAAGCCATTACAACGAAACGTCTAGGAGAAAACCATTGTAGAGCATTATAATTGTATTCAATTTTTCAGCAGGGATTAAAGACAGGCAGCTGTTTTAGAGCACTTCGTAAGTACCGGATCTTGCCGATGCTTTGAGTTTGCGGTTTGTTTGATACGTCCAATACAAACATACGTTGAACTTAAGAGTGAAATTTTAATTGCGCGTCAGCTCTGAAATAATTAGATATTGTCTATGGAATAATAGACAGTCGAAGCCTTATACTTGCAAATATCAATTTTGAACAAAGCACGTGTCGCTTTTAATCAAGACTGATCTCTCATGATACATTCGCTTCATACGACAAGAGTCGACTTGCTCACAGATACACGAATGAATCTAAAATCAATTACAATATTTACTTTATAAATTTCCCGGCGGCAAAAGTAAGATTTAATGTATAGAATAAATGTGTGTCATTGCCTGGTAGGCTCAATATATGATAGTTGTCATTATAATGCTATACATCCATTAAGATAAAGCCATGTATTTAGTTGTCATGGTGATAGAATAAAGTATTAGCGAGAGGTCTGGGACCGCGGCTGTGCTCAGTGTGCTGGGATCAGTTCAATGGCTGAGATCTACAAATGACAAATCTGAAAAACCACCTGATATTTTTCCAAATGAAACTATATTACGTCCAACGCTCAAAAAGACGCTTGTGTCCAAATAATACTTCGCAGTGCACAATTTATTCTGGGATGAAAAATGAACTGAACCTAATTTGACATGCAATTTCCTTTGGAAATTTTTAAACGAAAATCTATCCATCATAATCATGGCTTTTCTTGCGGCTATAGTGGTAATTTAGCAGTTCCAATGAAACGCTCTGGTAACCCGTAGCGCCGTGCGGAGGTAAAGACCCTAGCTTGCGAGGTTGACGCTCTGGTTGACAGTTAGAGATTTGATGTTTGTGATGTTACTCTGAGTGTGCATCCACACCGGGCAAGCTGAAAAGTTAGCTTGGCCACGGTGGGAATCGAACCCGCGACCTTTGGGATACTAGTCCAATGCTCTGCCAACTGAGCTACGTGGTCAAGTCGGTTCGAGTTGATCATATTTCGGAACTGAGTCTAGTTCCTTCGATATCAGTGTATTCTTTGATATGATTATCACTGGGATTATTCCTCTACGAAGAATACTCTAAGAAAAATTGTATAAAATATAATAAATATATAAAATATAATAAATGTATAAAATTCACAGTCGAAATTTGCATCTACAAAGCCCTTTACACTTACGCATGTAACGCAAAACGTGCACAGGACTGCTGGTCGATACAATGGATAATGATGCATGTGCCTTTGATATGTGAGATCTGGCTGTGGTTCCTGACTAGAACGTCGCCTGAGGCAGATGTTCCGATGATGTCACAGCTCCTACTACGTGCTACTACGCCATCTTATCTCCATCACAGTTTCCAAAAATATACTTGTATTTTCGTGCTGACAAATTGCTATGAACTAAATTAAATATGATTTACTATTAATAGTCACGCGGTGACCACAAAGCCACAGGACATGTGTCGTTGATTCTCGCTTATTCGCAATACTCCCGGCTTCACCTGCAGAGGATTCAACTGAAATCCATTTCGAGCACAGCACTTAAAGAAACGAATGTTCTAAAACTTGATTTCCAATTTTTATTCTTCTCTGTTCTCGTTTTCTCCGTTCTATTTCATCACATGACATCACGTTTAATCACGGTTGGCAATGAATTTAAGTAAATAATCTAATTTGGATTACGCGTTTGTTGCCATGGGAATATTTTTCTGGAAGGCCTACTATTGGTTGAGCTTTAATTAAACACGATCCGTGGTAAAATTGAAATTATGTTTTAACTGTATCAAATACTACTTCGCAGGACTCACGTTTCCCGGTTGAAATGTCTAAATATATCTTTCCATTTAACTTATCAACAAGCGATTGTTTGCATAGAACGAATGAATAAACTATGGAACATTCTAATTGAAAAAAAAAGGAACAAATTCGGGAACATTCTGATTGAAATCAGAACAAACCATAAATATTCTGATTAAAATGAGAACGAACTCTGGGCTCCTCTGATTGGAATTAGAACAAAGTTAGCCACTTAGCCGCATTCTGATTAGAATTAGAATAAATTGAAGATTATTCTGAATAGAAAAATTCTGACAGAATTAGAAAAAAATCGTTGAGTGCGATAGTGCAATGATCTTGAAAGATGTGGAGGACAAGTTTATATATTTCTAATAATCAATATAAATTAGAGTATATTTGTCATTGTGTGTTTGGGCTTCCTACGCGAAAAACTAATTTTCGAATATTTATTTCGAAGTCATCATCAGGGGGCGGCGGGGGTCCTGAAATTTACATAAGAGAAAAACAATTGTGATGTGATATCAACCTCTGTGACAAACACTCAAAAAATATAAATAACCGATTTCACAATTACAGACGACGGGACGCTTGAATGGCAGCCAATTTTTTTTCTCGCTAAACAATTTATCACGGGCGTTTCATGACTTTTTTTCTGCGATCTAATCTTTTCAGCGGTACAATATTTATCATATTCACTAAATATTCTAAAAGCCTGTTCGCAGGTTTGTTCCCCAAGGAGCAAAAATGACTCTTGAAAAAGTGACTTTCAATTAAAATAGCCAAAGCAGACATGTTGAGGGCAATTGACGAGTAAATCAACCTAGATGGCAGGAAGTGACGTCACATGCAATACACTTACGTTTATTTGGATAGGCAAGTATATAACCAATCCAAGAGCGAGTTTTCGTTTGATCAAAGGGACATGGAATAGCTTTAATATGCCACTTGACACACGCATCTTGAGGCAACACACACCAGCCAATTTCGTCTGCAATCAAAAGCAACAGAACTTAATCTAAGTTACACACGCAAACAAACACGCACACGTTGTAACAAAACTGGAGCAGTCTTTTAGCAATGCTGTTCCAACAACTTGTCAACAGGATGTGTTCGCACTGCTTGTTCCCAGCTTGTTGACAAGTTGTCAACGGCTTGTTGACAACTTGCTACACGGTTGTTGAGCTCATCAGACTTGTTACAGGTTGTTCCAACAACTTGTTATCGTCCTGCGATTCAACAATTTGTCAGCAAGTTGTGAGTGACAAACTTGATAAAATAACGTTGTACAACTTGTTGACAAGCTTGCCACAAGTTTGTTGCGAACACATCTTGTTGACAAGTTGTTAGATTTTTATGTGTGTATTTTGAAGGGTTGCATGGGGCATGGGGTGTTGATTCCAAAAGTCTCGATATATGTCGTGGATGGTTGCGGGTCCGGGCAAGTGGGGGCGGGGCTGCCTAAGGGTTAGTTTTAAGTGAGGGGGAAAACCGGGGGACAGTAAATCCCTCCCACGACTTGTGGTGTAGCAGGCTTGACCGAGGGGAAAAGGGCTTAACCGAGGGGAAAGGGGTATCCCGTGCTATCTTTAAACACTCGACGTGTCAGATCATTACTGCATGGGCTTATATCGGGGGGCATACAGTATTCAGTACCGCACTACTGAAGACATACAGTATTCAATACCGCACTACTATCCATTAACCCCCGCCTCCCCCCCCCCCCTCACCGGATAATGCAAGGTCTGAAAATTTTTAACACACTAGTTTTTGAAGGTGACACTAAAAACGCAATAGAAAACAATTTATTTCTTATTTTGCAAACTTATCGGACTTGACGTCACAGCATGCAAAATTTTCAGTAAATAATTTCAATGACGTTAAGTTGAACGCTTGCATGCGTAAAAAATGTATGTTTGTTGATCCCAATCTGCCGAAAGAAACAATTGCCAAAATAGAAATTTGGGCTTGGGAAGCTTCTAGCTTGTAAATTTTATATAAAGCAGTCTACCGCATATCACAGGCAAGGCATGGGAGAGTGAGAGAAACAGCGAGAGACGGCCATTGCCAGCTGGGAATGGTTAGCCATCTTCAACGGAATTTGTCTTCGTAATGTACTGTGATTTATAATTGATTAGGACAAAATGAGGTTAGGCCTGATTTGAGATATTAGCATTCGTGTTTACTTTGCAGAAATATTCCTTAAGCCCTTAACCATAGCGCGAATCGCTTGCAATCGATTGAATAAACAGAAAAAAATTTGGAAACATTTGGTTTCGGAGTAACTCTTCATTTGGAAACCCAAATAAAGAAAAAAAACGGATTCTTGCGGGTGAGCTCTCATTGGTCAGTGTGGCGTTTCGACTAGATGATATTAAAGTATTTGGGAGTGCACCGATGCATTGTGGGATACATTTATGCTAATTACGTCGAAAACTGAAGAAAAGTTTTTGTCAAGTCGAACGCAAGGTGCTTCGCGTGCCGAGGGAAAAGAACTCATCGTTCTGGTCTTCTTTAGGGATAATTTCAAACTGGAAGTTACACTGAAGGGTATACACAATGCTGAAGGTTTTTTAAAGACGAATTTCAATCGATTCCATCGGTATTTTTATTGGTGACAATTAGTACTGGAATGTCTCCATATCGTGTCGTCGTAGTACTCGCTACTGTACGGGTTTTATTGTAATTTTAACTTAATTGCAACAAAGCTAAACATTCTTATGAAAAATGCCGAAGTTCGGGGTGGGAGCGCAAATGGTCATGAGGTGAGTTTGATTAAAACAATTCTTAGTCAATTATTTTCTCAAACGCTTGGCTATATATGTTTGTGTATTCGTAATGCTGAGATGGCCTCGGTGTGAAAATCACAGACACAGTAAGAGCTAGCGCCTCGGTGATTTCCTAAAGCGAAAACAACGTTAATTTTTATTTTATTTCATTTTATTTTTATTTTATCAAATTCCTACACACGAGACCTTAATTGAACTACTATATAGAACTCTCATTTTCATCACAAAAAATGCTTAGCGGTCTTTCGGGAGAATAGTTCTGTTCTAGTGGGAAAACACAGTGTCAGTAAAACGGGTTCAAAGTCATTGGCAAAAACTACATTCGCAAAAACCAAGATAAGCCAGCCAGAATATATTTCAACAACAATTTACTTATGCACTCTTGTCTGAAAGTACTCAAATCGTAAGATCTTTCGTAAAGCTTGAAACTACGTAACATTTTTAACAAATGATCCAAGCAAAGCTGTCTTCGAGATGGACCTATATAAGTTAACAAAGTGGACAAAAGATGATTTCTTCAAACACAGCGTAAAACATGTCATTCCTGAGTCCCGACAGTATTCTTCGCTTTCGAATCTTATCTCCTCTTTTGAAAAGCTTTGGGCGTTGTGTGTCGCCGCAAACGAAAAAGATAGACTGTATGCGCGAGCCAGTGTCAAAAAACTATGCAATAAAACCAGCAATAAAACACGCTCACGTTATTAATCCATGACACGTTTTGTGAGTCTATTTGCCAAACTGAAACGCTTGATATTTAATTGAAATTAGTTCACGCATGCACTTACGAATGAATACAAAGTAAAATGTATCAACAAATTTAATAAACAGGATTATATAACTCCATGAAACACAAAAAACTTTCTTTGGAAGATTGTTCAAAATCAATTCATATATATGTTCCACTATACTCGAACTGGAAAGAATCGCACAGAAAGTGTTTTGAAAAATGCTGTAATGAAGACATAAAAGTTAATCATTTTTCAAAAATGACATCCTTCAAGTAACTTGTCATATTTGTATGGTAATTTTCTCCAGTTGAATAGGCTTGCTTTAAATTTGCGCCTGATGATACACAATTACTCATGAAAAGATGCTCGCGTCCTTAATTAGCTTTAACTTTAACTTGTTTTGACTAAAAGCATACGTACTGAACGTGATAAAACATTTAATATGGCAACTTCTAATACAAATATATAATTTTAGTTTTAATGTGAAAGAAGCCAAAACATATAGTAGCTGTACCGCCACATACCATAATAATTCGTTATATGATCCCGTCGATAAATATGTTTTAAAATTCTAGGCTTTTCCAAACTCGTGTGGCTTACAGAAAACGTATTTTATGCAGCATTCGCTATTTGGTTTTGTTTCCTAAACTGTACAGGATCAATATCGAAGTGGAATTTATAAAGCCAAAGAATAAAAAAGAATTTAAAAGCCTTGATATGTCATAATCACTGTCGTTATTGTTGATTAACACGGCAGACCAAACCATCTGTCGAAATATGCCCAACTTTTTAAGTATGCATGCATGCAGATGTCTCGGCGAAAACCAAAAATCTTCAATCAACTCGCTCGACTTATATAAATGCAAAAAATGCGAGAAATTAACCCAATTGAAGTGCTAAGAATAAAATTTCACTATAAAATACGACCAAACGTAATAAAATTTATATATTTCCCCCGTGAGCAGTTTAGTCTGTGTGGGTTTTCCAAATACGTGATCTTCCCTCACGCATATTATGAATTTTGAATAACGACTTTTGAATAACGAATTTTGAATTCGAATTTTGAGTAATGAGTTACTGCACGGGCATATTTTTTTCAATAACATTTCGAATACAGTAATAATAGCGAGCTTGCACGTATTTACAATGTAACTATAAAACTAGAAGCATAATCTAGGCCTAGGACTATATTATACGTGCTTGGAAACACTATATGCAAAATTATTTCATGCTTCATCAACACTTTGTCTTTGTATATATAGCAAAAATATGTTCTCTTTTCTAAAACAAAATTATAAAGCGAAACTTCTTCTAGTTCACTTTAGGGGTTTCGTAAAAATTTAGTCATTCAGTTACGGTTTACATGAAATAAAACACAATATACGGTTCAAATTATTCGGATCTTATAAGTCTGAGTAGCCGCCATCTTGGAAACGTTCGGAGAATATTCGGAAAAGGTCGGATTGTAACGCCACGAAGCGAATGTTTTTGGTTTCGACGTTACAAACATACACAACGATGCAGTAATCTTAATTTTAACATCACTTGATTGTCAGTGTACATAGGACACTCCTGGGGTGGAAAATAGTTCAAACATTGAAATATTCATTATACTTTATAGATAATTATCTATGAAAAAAGTTAACACATTGGTTTTCTAGTGTGCTATACTAAAACCGCACTCAATTGTTCAGGTTACATTGTATAGATTACAGAGGCGTAAACTTTAAACTGACAATATATTTGCGTTTCAGTACTTCGCAAATGACATAAATTGTGGAGTTTTTAACGTTAAAATAATCCTAAATCAGAAAAATGGCCAGACAACCCATGTTTTGAGTATACTAACTATACGAACTAACATAACAAATTTTTTACTTGTTTGAATTTTTCACTAATACCACAGAAACCAAAAAACACTCGGGATTGGTGAACGCATTTACGTAATGAAAACAAAGCATTGAAATTGCAATAAATTAATAACAAGTCGGAAACACGGTCCGCAACAACATTAAAAATGTGTTAGAACAGTATTATAACAGTATTATAACACTCGGGAAAATAACACATTAAAGTTTCGGCACAAACATATACCTTGCAACATTTAAGATTCACAATATACCGAGTATTTTTGCAGAAAGATGTATAAAAGCGAATCATGCATGTTTTGTTAACGTCATTTAATGAAACTTCGTTAAATTCGGCAATACACTTTGGAGAATATATATATATATATATATATATATATATATATATATATATATATATATATATATATATATATATATATATATATATATATATATATATATATATATATATATATATATATATATATACACATATATTGCATATATACAGTATTTCAAGTACTGTTAAACCTTCCCTTGAACATATTGTGCGTTTGTTTGCCAAGTTAGTATGAAACGTTTACACAGCAGCACGTGTTGTGCCGGGCCGCGATTTTAGGAGCCCACCTTCAGCATGTTATAGTCAAGCGATGGTTTCCTAAACCAAAATAGGTTTTTATAGCATCGCATCCAGGGCAACCGGAATGCTCGCGAACCAGCCAATAAAATCGTGAATATGTTCGGACGACGCAAGTCTAGGCAACCTCAACTTCCCATCATCCTCGGCTTCTGCGATGCATTAGTTGCGAGAAACAGGTGTTTTAGACTCTTTTGCAATTCCTAGCATGTTTACTGCCGCTATTGTCATGGAGCTATCTTCTACTACAGCTTATGGACGCAGTTCAAATTTTCCTACGATTTGGGCAAAATTTCTGTAGTCAGAATCGTAAAAAGAAGCACAGAGGACACAGTTTACTGGCCTGTACGCGGCGGCAACCCCCGAGGGGGGATTTAGACAACGAAGTTCGTTCCTTAAATGTTTTATTCGTCTTGCTAACAGGCGCGGTGCTCATACGGAGGGGATTTCTCCTACAAAGAACATGCAAGCAGCACAAGTATTAAAACAACATCGGGAAGCTGTCGAGTCTCACGAAAAAAAGAAAGACGAAGAACATCGCCATCATGAAGGAGCCGATGGCGAAGAGCATACGGACTCTGAATTTGAAGAGGAAGAAATACTTGTAGAAGTTCCTAAATATTTACAAGGAATACCTTTAGTCGATCCACATACGGAAAAACTTGGCGAGGTATGATTTTATATCTTAAAGTAAACCGAAATATATCACGAATTCTCAATACTATATATATATATATAAATATATTCTGACTGCAATTTCCTAATGACTTGAATACATTAACATATTGTCTAACAACAGGAAACATCTAACTTCGGTTATTGCCCACACTAAACGAAACCGTCAACGAATTAAACCGTTCTGCTATTCTCACGAGGATGAAATTCTGTCGCTCCTAATCGGAATATCGGGATGGTTTTTCGTTTTAAAGCGTAGAAAATATGACAAACGCGTGTTGTTGTGAATTGTCAACAAAATCTCATGCGGCCATATACTGCGTTTACATAGTATTTTACAAGTTAAACCAAATACTTTGACGAATCTAATTTTCTAATGCCGGCTTCGTTAATCCAGAGCATATTTCAAAATTAGGGCCACGAAAGAGACAGATTAATTCGCATTGCAGGTAGAAAGTACAGGTTGCACGGTGTCACTAAGTTACCTTGTGAAGCGCATTACAAAAACAATATATACTCTCAGTTCAATTATAAAAGTAAACGGGGAGAATCCGCTCTAAAAATATGACCGCATGTACTGCATCAACACAAGCGAAGGCAAAGGCTTATAAGCGGATATATACTACTTCATTTCCTCTCAAAACCTTCGCCAGCATCTGCCAGTTGGAATGATATTCTCCCAACTCGTATTTTCAACCGCTGAAACAAAACTAAAACATATAAGCGTAGTTTTTAAAGAAGATTCAATCTTTGATAAAATATCATTATACGCGAGCGACAAGCGTACCGTTAGATTTGTATCTAAGATTGAGAAAATCTAAACTAAATTATATCGTTTGAAAGGGATAGACGGAGAGTAATAGCGTCAAAACAAAAACATGACATAAATAAAACCGACTGTTTGTCACCGTTGCCACAGCATAAATCTGTAACGGTCGTTGGACATAACATTTGAAATTTTTATTACAAAACATGCATGGTGTTACGCGTGACCGACATTGGCCGATATCTTTTAAACGTGCGATAACAGCACGAAACGTATCAAAGATTTTTGTTCTTCCCAACCTGTGAAAGTGACCTAAATTAACCTATCGCGGGCTAAAATTATTCTTGAGGCTCTTTATTGAGATATATAGGTAAAGGAACGAAATTGCTTTTCGTAAGACCCAGTAGGAAGCCGATATCATTTCGCAGAGATAAAATCCCATCATTGTCGCTTCACATGCATTACGGCAATTGTGAAATACTCAATAGAAGAATGAACTGTGATAACTAAGTTAAAATTTCCATATTTTATACAACATATTGCTGCATGCTTGTATGAGCTGACCTAGGCCTGGGATAGCACGACGGCAAAAAAGTAATAGACTTCACCCCTCATACGCTGAGCCTAATTGCAAGTTGAGTGATTCAAAATGAATATACATCATGCGGTATCTGATGTTGTTAGCATTTTAGCGACATAAAGTAGTACATCTCGCCTATCTAGGGGAGGGAAGGTTTCAAGGAATATGGGAATTTATCCAAAAACAAAAACTGTGCCTGTTTATATCTATAATATCGTATCTAATTGACGTAAAAAGAGTCTGGAATTGATATTACAACTATTGACTTTCAATGAAATATTTATTTCGTTCAAGCTGTCATGGCGAGCATTATAATTTGCATATGCTTAATAATTTATTACTGTAGTCTTCGCTATCTTAGCTGCCCGTTGCTTTTTCTTTTTAAATATTTAACTTTCGATGTTGACTACGGTACGGATATCACTACTTTAAGATGAGGGATGAGGTTACACTTAACTTTGCCTAAAAAATGAGGCTGAAAATTCGCATTGTTTCCAAATTTGATTCGTAAACGTTTCGACCGCGGTGAGCCGGTACCTGCACACGCTTTCACACCGTCGCAACTTTGAATGACAATAATTCAATAAAATAAAATTATAGATGAAAAACTTTAATATAACATATTTTCAAAGCATAAAACATGCTAGCCACATTATAAGTACCAATCAGAAAATGAATTCGAGTAAAGTTTACAATTATAAGGTTTATGACGCATCAGCGCGTATACTTTGCAACACACAACGCGTAACGCATAACAATTTGAAAGACAGCGAAAAAAACCCTCATGAATATAACAAACAAAGCTTCCTTTTATTTGTTTCTTTAAATCTTTGGCTCTAATGAGTTGTTTTTGTATATATTTTAAATAATTTCATGTTAAAAGTTAGCTATGCACATTTCGAGCCGATGTATACATTCGGCATGATGCATGCGTTATCTTCCTAAAAAACTCCGCGCAATCGATTTCAGTATAAGCTTTCGATTGACAAAAACACCAATTGCAAGACAAAAAGACAATTCGTTAAATTAAGTATTAAAAATTTATTTGAAATTCGATAAAGCCAAACTGAAAAGCTGTTAAAACGGTGCAAATAGATATAGAATATCTAAGCAGTGTAGAATTTTGTCAACACGTTGAATATAGTCGAGGGAAACAGTTTTTAAAATTATATTTTTACATTTCTTTTTTATGCTCTATTACTCATGGAAACTTTACACGGTTCTTTCATTGTATATAAATGAGGACGAGACAAACTATCTGTTTGTTAAACTACAAAAGAGACAGCTTCACAAACAAACATCGCTTTATGTAGATTCCATAAAAAAAATGAAAATTTCAACTATTTTACCAATTTAGTTTGACTATTTAGCCAACATAATTGTTCATACGTATACCTATACAAAAATTGAAATAAAAAAAATTTGTGTGCGTGTTTTGTCCAGTTAATGTCGAGTTCAAAATATTTGGGTCTTGCAATTATGCTGTATACTTTGTTATAGACAATGAATTTAAATATCATATAAACACACATATAGGCAAAACCTCAGAAAAACTTTCCTGCCAAAAATCCTCTTAACAAGAAAGTATTTTTTATAGAAAGGTATTAAAGAAATCATAGGGGACTATATAGGACTTTTTTCCAAATATTTTCGAGCAAAATACTAAAGTCAGAAGCAAACTACATATATCAATTAAGTTTTTGCAAGCTGATGGAAACGAATTTGCAGTTGGTTCGATTACATTTTGTCAAGGTATAAAAAAATGCTCTAAAGCAGGATTAAACCTATTTTAAACGGATCGATATGGCACGGTTCACGGTTCGTTAATTTTGAAGACAAGGTGTGAAACAATATTGTGACAAGTGCAAGACGTGTTAAAGGAGTTTAGTTATAAAAGCATAATTATATTATTGAATAAACATTTCCATTGCATTGTTCAGTATATTAATATAGCTTGCAACAATAACCGTGTAACTTCGTGCAACCGTTGCAATTTTGATTCAATTTGGACTAAAAATAGCAAAAAAACTAAATTAACCGCTTTCACCCTGGTAACCTTGTATTATTTTTGTGAATGTGAAATCGAGTTTAGGATACATCCCAAACTACGGTAGCTGTTTGGTGCAAACACACTTCTCGCATGAAATTAGAGGGATCAAATCCTTGTCACAGAGTTGCAACAAACAACATCCGACATCAGCTTGTTTTGGTCACATGAGTCATGGTGACTTTAAACATTTCACACTGTCATTCACCAAACGAATTCCTAAAATACCGTCAAAACGCCGACCAAAATTGCGCAACACCGTTTTCCCGTTTCACTGGTTGAAATATAACATTTTCCTAAAAATTTATTATATTGTAATTTAGGATATATTGCCTATTAACAGGATTTTAATTTATATTAATTCATAAAAATTCCTATCCAACTGTGTTGCCATAGCAACGACTTAAAATAGAATTGATTTCATGATTCCTAGACGATCGCACCCAAGGTCATAGCAACGAATCGCGTGATCAACATTTAAAATGTATCAACTGTATGATTCCCTTATAAAATTTTCATTAACATCTCCATATAATAAATTATAAATTTTATTGTATTTCGAAAAAATACCAAAAGCTTTAAGCGATGTGCATATACACTAGAATTAAGACCAAATTTTCAAGCCAAAATGGTCGCTAATAATATCAAGGGTATGAATTAATATTGGACTTGAAACGTCGTTGGCCGTAATTAGACCTGGCAACTGCTATACAATATTGTCATATGTGTAGGACATAATATTCTTCACTACAAAAATATAGTATTTTCCAACACTGTTAAGCAAGCATCGATGTTTGAAGCCATTTCTCCTTAGTTGCCTTGTGAAATAATATCACAAAAGCCAAATGGAAACATGACTTGAATTATCGAGGCGTGCTGAACAGTGTTAAATATAATTCAATTTATATATATACCCTTATATTACTTCCTGTTCCATATCTAAACACACACAATATATGATGATGTTAAGATGTTTGCAGTTTATGTGTTGGAAAATAAAAATCCCGCTTTAGGAATGCGTCGCATATCCCTATATTTAAAACTTCTGCAATGAAGGTTAGTTTTGGAATAATGAATATATACAAATCTACAATAATACTAGTCCAGAAACGTTTGCTCATGCATATATGACAATGTTTTTATACAGTAAAAATTAATATTACAAACTTATCAGACTTTTGACCTAATCAATGTTTCGTTTTAATTTGCTTTGCATATGAATTCAATTCGAAACTATAGAACAATATGGCAAGTATAGAACGATAAATATTTCTTTTAAAACTACGAATTTCATTGCGTTTTTTTAAAGTTTCTTAGGCAAATTTTTAAAGTTTAAATCGAAGACAAAGAGAGATAATTTAGAAAATAAAACAGAAGTATTAATGAAGTATACTGCGTGTAAATTACCCACCAGCACACATAAAATATTTATGAAAATGCTAGCAATATCCCATTTCCATGACAACAATGACGCAAGAGCTTGCGCGTGGTGAAAATATAGCAATTTTAAAACTCTGCAATTTGTAAATATTTGTCTCTGACTAAGAGATCCTTGACGCTCGTTTCAATAATAATAATAACACAACTCTCTTCACAAACGAGGAAGAACTGCTATAGAGAACATTTATCAACGTATAGAACTTGCACAAAAATTGAAATAAAACCAGCCCATTGGGTGTTCCAACGTAGTAATTAATCTAGCCGAAGAATTAGCATAATGTGCTTAACGAAAAAAAAAATCGCTCGGAATCACTAAGCACTCATGCTAGTCAACCGGTACTAGAAATATCAGGGTGAAAAATGATGTATCATCTTTCCCCCAAAAAAAATCCAAGAACTGCAGTGAGGCATGATTAGAAAGGTCTCAATTTAAACGTCGTCTTTCACCAAAAGTTATAACTTATCAGTTATACAAAAACGACATTTCGACCAAGTTACCTTGTCCTTTGAAAGCTCTACAAGTTTGAACAATGGCAAAAAAGATTATCTTTGGAAGCATGCATGCATGTATTCTGTGGCCCCTTTAAATCTTTAACATACAGCTTCCCAGCGAGTGTATATAGTTAATTCTTCTGTAAATTTAATTTACTCTGAATTTATAATTATCTTACTTGTTTATTAATTTCTGACACTTGTAGAGCATAATATTCATATTGCTGTCCAAGGCCATAACAACTTGGTCCAAATGTCCTTTTTGTTCGCAACTTTTAATCAGAGACGACATTTTTAAATATGGACCTTTTTCTCTTTTTCACTGCCTGTTAAGTTTCGTATTTTTGCGAAAATAAATAAAATGGAATTGACCGCTTTGGACTCCATAACTTTGCATGCAACCTTCTTACTTGGCTTGTACTGTGCAAATCAAACATTCAACACACCTACGACAAAGTAAGTGAGTTGTGTGCTTGATTCACAAAGTACAACTCAAGTTGTAAGCAGGTTGCATGCGACAGTTTTAGGCAAAAGTTGTGAAGTGTAAATCGACGCGCACTGAAACCTACTAATATCATATAGCAATCTCAAACTCATTAATAATTCAATGAGTAAATTGGCCAACTATATTGCTTTATTTTGCTCACATGTTAATACTGGATACCTGCATATTGATCCAGTCCTTGGACAGGATCAAAATTAATGGACCTTTCCCCTTATAACTAAAATTTTGATCTAGACAAAAATTTCATCACAGCTTGAAAGAGCATCACAAAATTAGTAATATTCCAAAGTTTCGTTGCGAAATGTTATAAAACGCGGATAATATAGCCTTGCGAAATTTGCCGTTTTTCAGTCATTTTGTATTACGCACGGGAAATTGACAGCCCAATCGGGTGTTGGGGCATCAATTTCCCGTTTGTATACAATACAAAATGACTGAAAATTGCAAATTTCGCAGGGCTATATTATCCGCATTTTACAACATTTCGCAACGAAACTTCGGAATATTACTACTTTTGCGATGCTCTTTCAAGCTGTGATGTCTAGACTTGTCTAGATCAAAATTTTAGTTATAAGGGGAAATGTCTATTTAGTCCTTGGACTGGATTTTTTCAAATTAATTCACCTCATTTTAAGTAGTGCTTTATTCGTATGAGATGTCATTTCAAATCCGACTATGAAGACTGGACTAGATTTTAAGTCCTCGCATTTTGGTCCAGTCACATTGCGCGGTCTTGAAATCTAGTCCAGTTTTCACAGTCGGATTTGAAATATTACATAAATACCTGTGGGCTAACAAATCATTCTCCTCCCCAGACGTACACAGTGATTGCAAAGAATCTGGCTGGACTTCTTCAAGTAAACAGATTTTCGTCGACGAAATCATGTTATCTCTTTGGACCAAGAAATAAAATTAGAAAATTCACGTGTTATATAGTAACACATCAGTATCCTTTTTGTGAAAACACCGTCTAAAAATACAAGAATAATGTAGTAGTAGTTATTAGAGGGATTGAGAAGGATTCAACTACGTGAAAAATACAAGGAAAACTTGTATTTTTCAGAGTTGGAAGAACATTTTCTATAAGGCTGATTTCAAATATAAAATTTTGATAACTGATCAAATAAATTATTAATTAAGCTATTGTTCTAATTAGAATCGTTTGTTTTTCTTAACTGTTTTCCAGAATATTCGAACTTATTATTTTAATCACAATTTTAACGAACTGTATCTTTTTAGCATTAAATAATCCACCTCAGGTGTCAGAGTAAGTAAATTAATACAATTAATTAATAATCATCCAATTAGAATATAGAGTACATTATTGAGTATCGTGTACTCAATTAGCAAAAAAAGATGCCATTACATTACTCAGATTTTAATATTAAAATCATTTTTAAATTAGAACACTGTATTTGTTCGTTAGAAAAATTAACCAATTAGAATAAATTATCCAATTACAGATATCACTGCACTCAAATAAATGACCAAAACTAATGTTCTTCCAATATATCTTTCCATCTAGAATTGTATTTGCAATAATTTACACATCAGAAATGTTGCTAAAAGTCACCGCCAAGGGATTTGCGTTTCATAAGTATGCCTATCTACGAAATTCGTGGAATTGGTTAGATTTTATTTGCGTCATAATAGGGTAAGTATTTTCAAATGATAAGCAAACTTAATGACTGATTTGAAAATGACATAATGATAAGAGAGGAATATAATTATACAATACAACACAACACAACACAACACAACACAACACATACCAATAATACAATCAATTTAATGCTTCCTCGATTTTTTCCAGCTTTTTGACGTTTATTCCTGGAGTATCAAACTTCTCTGTAGTCCGAACATTCCGAGTATTACGAGCGTTAAGAACGATATCAGCTGTAAAAGGTTAGTTCAAAATGGCTTCAACATTTTCCTTTAACTATGAAGACAAACAGGACATATTGCCATGAGCAAGTCTCAAGGGTGGTAAGAACACAGTGATTAATGCATGTACATACTACACACGTAAAAACGCACAAGTTATAACAAACCTGCAGCAGACTTGAATGTTGTTCCAACAACTTGTCAACGTGATGTGTTCGCATTGCTTGTTCCCAGTTAGTTGACCAGTTGTCAACGGCTTCTTGACAACTTGCCACAAGGTTGTTGAGCTCAACAGAGTCTGACTTGTTATCAGTTGTTCCAACAACTTGTTATCGTCCTGCAATTCAACAATTTGTCAACAAGTTGTGAGTGACAACCTTGTAGCAACTTGATAAAATAACAGCATTGTTAGAACTTGTTCAAACGCTTGCTACAAGCTTGTTGCGAACACATCTTGTTGACAAGTTGTGAGAATTTTACGTGTGTACCGATCTGTGGCCGAGGTTTGATTTCTGCACTCAATTGTACATCTCTTGATCTCCTTGTTTTTTTCTCAAGGTTTAAAAGCAATGGTAAATACGCTAATGAAGTCAATTAAAATGTTATCGGACGTCATGATCCTAACGGTTTTCTTCATCGGTGTCTTTGCTCTGATTGGTCTACAGCTATTTAAAGGAACGTTGCGTAATAAGTGTGTTAAATTGATGGCGCCTAATGCAACAGATGCCGAATGGAGTGCACACGTACTCCACAAAGGTAGGTTCAAAAAATGTGCTGGATTTTAAAGGTTCAGCCTTTTAGCCTAAATGATGGTTTTTAAGGCACATTTCAGCCCTTTTAATTGAAAAAACTAACTAGGAAAATCAATTCAAAATTTGAAAAAACTAACTAGGAAAATCAATTCAAAATAATTCAAGATCAGCAAACTTAACATTTTTAACATTTTAAAACATTTTTATTGTAAAAAGTTTATTGATCTTGAATTATACATAATTGATTTTCCAAGTTAGTTTTTTCAATTATAAAAGGGCTAAAATGCACCTTAAAAATCATCAATCAAAAGGCTAAACTGTGCCTTTAAGTACAGTAAACACCCACATAAAAGAACCTTTATCTTTTTATGTCATGCTAAAGAGATTCTTATATAACACGTAGTTATTGGTTTTTAACCGGTCCTTATTTCATGTCAAAAACAATTATCCCTGGTTTAATAGTGAGCTGTTTCTTAATTAGTGAGCTGTTGAAAGTATTACATTAATAATTGCTATTTTTAAAATTAAAAGCCTCAGAATTTGATAAACATGGTTCGTAAACAGAGTTCAAACCGCTTGAGTCTGCCTGCTATTAAAACCACCTTCAATGGTTAACTATAGAAGCATTTTGGCAAATCTGGACTTACTCTTATATATAATCTTTATAGAAAACTGGTTGATCAACCAGGACTTTCCTTTTGTGTGTGGGAATGGAACGTACAGCGGGTAAGGCTGTTCTCTTGTTTACTAAGAACAATTAAAGGAAAATAATTTTTCACAGTAATTTTTATTTTTTTCAAGAATTTTTCCTTGGTATTCTCAGCTTGTTGTAACACAACAAAGAGCTGAATTAACGTGATTCTTATTCTATTTCAGTCACTGTAATGAGGGTTACAGCTGTATCGCAGATATTGCTGAAAATCCTCCAAAAACTGAAATCCCGTACATTTCATTCGATAATTTCCTGTGGTCACTGCTCACTTCTTTGCAGCTCGTCACGCTAGATTCTTGGGAAATTGTTTATAACGTGGTAAGTTCAAGTTTAGTTTAGTTTAAAGACAGTCTGAACAAGGCTAGCTGACTACAATAGCATTTGCCTACATTTTGAATGACAACTAACGAAATGACTTTACTGACAGCTGACAAACGAAGAAACAGCAATTTGGAATAGACATTTTACATAATATTTTAGTAACAGCATATAAAATATGTTAAGTGATAGCTGATAAACGATAAAGAGAAAATTCGAACTGAAATCTTACAAAATATCTCACTGACAATACACAATTAGTTTGAATATTAGCTGCATGACGACTAACATTCAAAGAGTCCACTAAAACCTTCTTCCTCACAGTAAAGGATAGAAGGCGTTACAATTTGTATGGCATACAAGTACCGCCTAGCTCGAACTTGATTCAAGGCTAGGCAACAGACCTTATGCATAATGACGTCACAAGGCTTGATGCCCGCGAGAAATGCTGGTCTTAGTAGTCATCGCCCGGGAAAATTAAACAATTCAAAAGGCCAACTACCGAAATTTCCACGGGCGATGACTACTTAGACCAGCAACACTCGCGGGCATCAAGCCTTGTGACGTCATTATGCATAAGGTCTAACAATTTGATGTAATTTTAACAAAATGTCTTTCTCACTAGGTAATCGGTGCAAATGGCCAAGTGTACGTTTTATATTTCCTGTTTGTTGTTCTCCTTGGTCCATTCTACCTGATTAACCTTGTGTTGGCTGTGGTCTCGTTGTCATACGAAATTGAATCAGCAGCGATACAGGACGAAGGGGCAATGAAGAGAAACTACGAAGCATTAAAACGAAGCGCATCTGCTTATGACTTTGACTGCAAAGAAATGCCAGAACCTCTATACTTGGACGACATTCCACAACGACCGGAAGAATCGAAGTACGTTCCCGAGGACCCACGACCTTCCAGTCGGAACACTGCAACACCGACGTCCGATAATGCGCTTGAACTTGGCGAGAATTATGAACAGGAGGTGGCAGCCCCGACGGGATGTTGTACAAGTTTTAGAGCTAGACTGAACAAGATCGTGGACAGTCCTTTCTTCGAAGGATTCATTACTGCGTGTATTTTATTGAACACTGTATGTATGGCATTGGAACATCATGACATGGACCTGACATTTAAGAAAGTTTTAGAATATTGCAATTTGGTAGGTTGCACTGATGTTGGTTATCATGTTATAACCACATATATCTTTTAATCGAAATATCTTTCTCTTCAGACTTTTACAATAGTTTTTATCTTGGAAATGATTCTCAAACTGATGGCACTGGGTATAAAGAAATACGTGAAAATAGCCTGGAATGTTTTTGATGGTGTGATTGTTCTCATGAGTATAGTAGACATGACCATGGAGTACTCCAATGTTGGGGGCAGCGCGGGCGGAGCGCTCAGTGTTTTGAGGACATTCAGATTGGTATGTATATCACGTTATTAGGGGCTGATAGGGTTACTGTACTCAGTACCGGGAGTGCCTATTGTTGTACGAGTCCTGATGGGACACTAAACACCATCCTCCGTTCATGAGATAAATTTTCCAGTTCAGTTCCATTCCATTCTATTCTATTCTATGCCACTTTATTCCATTCTATTCAATTCAAGTTAATTCCATGCTATGCTATTCCACTTTATTCCATTATATGTAGTTCTATTCCATTCAATTCGATGCTATTCTATTCCATTCCATTTTATTATTTAAAAAACTTCACACATACACTAAACCATCCTTTCACTTCACTTTCTAGCTTCGTGTTCTTAAACTGGCGAAGTCCTGGAAAACCATGGGTAATCTGTTGGCAACGATTGGCAAAAGTGTAGGAGCTGTGGGTAACATAACTGTCATCCTACTCATTCTCATGTTTATCTTTGCTGTGGTTGGCATGCAACTGTTTCGTACGTATTACACAAAAGAAATATTCCCTGAGGGCGTACCAAGATGGAATTTCAAAGACTTCCCGCGATCATTTATGATGGTTTTCAGAATCATCTGTGGTAAATGGATTGAGCCATGTTGGGATGTTATGCGCGCGGCTGGTGAACATTCGTTCATTTATGTCTTGCTTGTGTTTATCATCGGTCAATGGATTGTCTTGAATTTGTTTCTTGCGCTTCTGCTCAGTTCGTTTGGTGGAGATTCATTAGCCGAGGACGAGGTAAGATTCGCTAGGTTTCGAAATAACCTAGCAACCTAAAATCTAAAGTATTTACAACACAATGTTTAGCATTTTTAAAAGAAATCATTTGGAGATAGAAGACATGACATAAGATTCACAGAGCTAGGTTCAGTTACTACAATATCAAACCTCCCTTCAAAATTCCATTTTATTTCCAATGTTTTGTTTATATTTTAGAGAAAAGGGACCTTGGCGGGGTAAATAGTAGACTGGGGAGCACCATGCCCCCCAGTCTAGCCCTGCGGTCTTCATAGAATCCCTAGATCTTACGAAATGTTACCATAATTTCAGGAGGATCAGGAGAAGAAAAAGAAAAAGAAGAAGAAAAAGAAGTTTAGTTTACTTGCGCTGTTTAAAAGAAAGAAAAGAGGAAGAGTGACTCCGAACACGTCCAAAGAAGACCTCGAACAGGCTCAGGAAGATGAACTCAAGAGGGAACAGCAGGGTGAAACAGGGATAACCATGGTCAATGGTGGTGACACGGGGAATGGTGTACCACTTAGAGCAGGTGAGAGACTGCGTCGACATAAGCTTGGAATAAATAGGGACGACTAAAGTTCGATATAACTTCGGTGAAGGTCGGAATAACGTCGAGACACGGTCAATAATTTCTCCACTGATCTCAAAAGTTACTAGGTAGCGTATTGTTCACTAATGCACGAAATGAAGACAATTAAACTTTGACAATACACATGTATAAAAACAAGGCTATATAGCTAGCCTCCTCCGCAGGCCTCTCTATGGGTTTTAGCCTGCGAATGGGTTTTGAAAAAAACAAACTTTTTCCCACCACCCGAGATGCCTACGGAGGCGGCTACTGTATAGCCAAGGTCACGAAATTTCCGGAAGCATGTATAGAAGTTCCTCACTATTAAGGGATCAAATGTCCATACGTATACATTTTAAAAACGGCTTTAAAACTTTAAAGGTACCAGAAAATTACATTATTTTGACATATAAAGCATCTCAGAAAATAAATGTCTGTCGGTTGAAAAATAGTTGCTTAATCCAGTTTTATTTTGAAGATCAGTAATAACCCGCCTTTTTTCGCTGGTTCAGGGTCTGGGGATAGCACGCGCAGTGAAACCGAAAGTACAGCAAATGGCACCACTATCGACGGCGATCCTTCCCATCCTTCATTTCCGGTCAGCGTCGTCGTAGATGAAACTGTGCAGACAAAGAATAATGGCATCCCGTTTGACAAGACAGATTCTTCTGAACATTTGAATGTTGCCAACGGCAACGGAGGGCATGGCGTACCCAATGGAAACTCGCATAAAGGTTAGTTGCCTGCGAATGGGCCTTCTCGGATAAGGACGTTAAATCGTAGGTACCTCGGATCTCCTATCAATTGGGAAATCCGCTCACCAATAAGTGAGTAACTCAGTAAACTAAATCAATAAACCAATAAAGCAACATCAGTTATATTCTTTAGTAACTATAAACAATAGCTAGCTAACGTTTTAAAATTATTTCAGGATCGAGCTTGGATCTCAGTAGAACGGTATCTGGTATCAGTCAGTCTTCAGCCAGTCTTAATGGCGAGCGCCGTGAGTCTATTCAGAGTTCTCTTGGGACGGGCTTCCACAATGCTCGCAACAATTCAATACGTGGAAGTCGACGTCCAACCATGATGGTCCAGGGAGAAGATGGACTGCCTGTTGCACCAGATTGTTATCCACCCTTCTGCTACAACGAAGGAATCTGTTGCGTGTGTTCGTCTGGTTTTAAAACTTCCAAGATACGGAAACTTTGGACAACTGTTCGTACGAAGATCAATTTCTTTGTCGAGCATAAGTATTTTGAATCTTTCATATTGTTCCTGATCGTTGTTAGCAGTTTATCCTTGGTAAGTGATGGATAAAGTTTCCTGTGTTTTCATGTTTTTATGTGTTAAGCACAGCGGATAACGTTATGGGCGTTGGCGTTATGAACTCAGAAGACATGAATGAGACACGGCATGAATCTATCAATGAGACATAAATTTATCACCTTGACTGGTGTTTCCTTTAAATGTAATGCAGTAAAGTAAAATGCATGCAAGCAACCAGGCGCCAGTCATTAATGTTATTTCTGTTCAATTATTGCAGGCTTTTGAGGATATCTACTTGCCCAAACGTCCAATATTAAAAGATATTTTGCAGTACTCCAATTATTTCTTTGCTGTCGTGTTTGGTCTGGAGTTTCTTCTTAAACTGATTGGTTACGGTGTTGTCGGATATTTCACAAGTTTCTGGAATTTACTCGACGTCTTCATTGTCGCAGTAAGTGTTCATATACCTTTACCTGGCATGAAACGTGATTGCAACGCGATTGCTTAACCTAGCTTATCTACTAACCTGCAGATAACCTTCAACCGGATCTTCAATTTTTGACCTTCAATTTCACATCATGACCTTCAACCTGACCTAATATGGACTTTTTACCTGGCCTCATATTGACCTAGCACTTGACCTCATATTGACCTTCATCTACTCTCCTTTGACTTTCAACTTGACCGCATTCCGACCTTAAGCATAACTTCGTACCAACCTTTCATTTGACTTCTTATTGACCTACAACTTGATCTCGTATCGACCTTCAACATGAGCTAATATTGACGCTTCAACTTGTCCTCAAATTATCCTTGAATGTTCAACATGACTTACAACCATTTTAATAATTAATTTAGATATCAGTTGCGACGTTATTCGGTAATGAAAATCTCAATGCTCTACGTTCGCTACGTGCTCTAAGACCACTTCGTGCTGTGTCGAAATTTGAAGGAATGAAGGTATGCTTGGTTTGTGAAACAACTATGTTTCATATCTGTCTTAATTTCAATAAAAGAGCGTTCCATGCTCGATAGTATACAATTCCAGTACGAGTTTTTGGGATAGAATTAAATAAAAATCCAGGAACCACTTACAGTAACTTGTTCAAATGTTTTGTATGTTTTGCTTCAAAATTTTCAAGAAAAACCCGAGGTTTTTTAGGTCCTTAGTATATTTTGTCGGTCATCTTGTTTGCGTGATCGCCGCGCGTGGTTTAAGCGAACATGTCACCCGGGTGATACGATTCAAGTACGTCAAATACGATGACGTAAGGCGCGATTCGATGATAAATTTCATGCTCATGTGGCACAAATTAGTTTTCTGATTGGACACTTTGAATTTGAGGTATAATATTGAAACAAATTGCCTCTTAAAAAATTGCCTCTTGATGTTACCCTCAGTGAATACTGTTTGATCGATTCATTGTTTTTTTCGCAGGTGGTCATAAACTCTCTAGTGCTATCACTACCAGCGATAGGCAACGTTGTCTTGGTTTGCATGGTATTCTGGTTAATTTTCTCCATTATGGGATACCAGTTCTTTGGCGGCAAGTTTTACAAATGCATTGATAAAGACGGAGAAAAATATAATGCGTCAATTATACCGGACAAAATCACGTGTTTAATTAATGCTACTGCCCGTGGTAATTTTACTGGTAATGGTAATCGATGGATAAATTCGAAAATTCATTTTAACAGCGCGTTTACTGGTTTTCTCGCTTTGTTTCAAGTGGTAAGTTTTTATATCAACCTCTTTTACAGAAATGTCTGTGAAGTTTTTTCCATAAATCACTCTCTATATATTATCCGGATAATTGGTTTGACACATACGACGGATCGTCCGTCTACACACGCAAAAATCTCACAAGATGTATTCGCAACAAGCTTGTAACAGTCTTGTCAACAACTTGTAACAATGCTGTTTTTATCAAGTTGCTACGACGTTGTCACTCACAACTTGAACTTGTTGACAAGTTGTTGAAAAGCAGGACGATAACAAGTTGTTGGAACAACTTGTAGCAAGTCTGTTCAGCCCAACGACCTTGTAACAAGTTGTCAACAACCTTGTAGCAAGTTGCCAACAAGCTGGGAACAAGCAGTGGGAACAGATCCTGTTGATAAGTTGTTGGAACAGCATTGCTACAAGTCTGCTGCAAGTTTGCAAACAAGTTGTAAAAAGTTGCAGCAGACTTGCAGCAATGCTGTTCCAACAACTTGTCATCAGGATGTGTTCGAACTGCTTGTTCCCAGCTTATGGAGAAGTTGCCTACGGCTTGTTGGCAACTTGCTACAAGGTTGTTAAAGCCTGGTTTCCATATGGTGGTAAAAATAGAGTCACGATCTTTCTCAACGGCCAGTTTGTAATAGTTTATACCTGTAAACCACATATAAATCATAAGTATTCTGTAGTTATAATCACTCCGCGTATTGTCAGTTCTAAAATGTTGTATTTCGGCTGATAAGAAAGATCGTGACTCAATCTTTACGACCGTTACGACCATATGGAAACTATGCAGCTATAGGCTTAAGTTCAACAGACTTGTTACAAGTTGTTCCATTGCTGGAATTTTATCGTTGTGCAATTCACCAATTTGTCAGCAATCTGTGAGTAACAAGCTTGTAGCAACTTGATAAAATAACAGCGTTGTTACAACTTGTTGATAAGCTTGTTGCGAACCCATCTTGTTGACAAGTTGTGAAATTATTACGTGTGTGGCTACAACAGTGGAAACTATATATAGGTCTGGGAACCGTTCTGGGAACAAATCGTTGCCCATGTTTATTCAACAGTTTGAAAATCCCTCCACAGTAGTATAAGCTCGGAGAGTAGTGCTTCCACTGTACCTTGAATTCACTCATGTTTTTCATTTTCCAGGCGACACTTGAAGGTTATATGGAAGTAATATTCGACTCTGTTGATGCTGTAGAAGTAAGTCAAACTGCATAAAAATAAATGTTAACATTAAGACCCGTCCAGCACGTTGGCCAAACATCACCCAACAATCAACATTGTTGCATACAAAAGTATATATTTACATTGAAAGAGCTCCTTGAAAATTGTAGAATAAGTCATTATTTTACAATGTTTTTATATCTTTCGTTGGTTAGAAGCTATTTAAGTCATCGATATAGACATGAATGATTTTCCCTATTCTTTGAAAATTGTCAGTTTGTGACGTCATAAATTTATTTCATTTGCATATCAAACAATCTAAAATATCTCAATAATGAAAAGAGATAAAGAAAAGTTGTAAAATACGTTGTGAATTTCAAGGCGTTGAATCAACTCCGAAAGTGTTATACTATCACCAAAAAGGTGTCAGACATATTATTAGCACTGATGAAGATTCGGGCCAGTGAACTCTGATCTGGGCTTACGGATCGAAAGCTTTGCAGTAACAAATTTACGTGGTGTTTCCACAAACAAAAAGTATTATGTTTTATCGCCATGCAAACCTACAAAGAACTTATTACAGTGTAAATTACTTTACAGTCTAACGAGTTCTTTCTATCAAAACAGACTTGAATTTCATCGCCATTACCCTTGGGTAAATGCAATGAAATTCAATTTGGAACTCATTCAAAATTCTCATCCAACAAAATTGTTGGACGAAATTGGAACGATGTAACAGGCTAAAAATATGCAAACCAATGTCATGTGTTAATTCCAGTCAAGCAGATATGTAATAAACTTTTGTACGTTATTTACAGGTTGATAAGCAGCCCATAAAAAATAATAACTATGCCATCAATATATTTTACGTCGTGTTCATAACAATGGGGTCATTTTTCATTTTGAATTTATTCATTGGCGTTATCATCGAGAATTTCAGCAAACTCAAACAGCAGGTAATGTCAATATAAAACCACTTTCGAATAAATTTGAATCCAAGATACGGATTGTTGTCAATTTTATCCAATTCTTTCAAAATTTAACATTTTAATTTTGCAGAAAATGTAATTAGTTGTATGAGCGATTTATAGACGAGAAAATAAAATAAATAGTGACAAGCCCCATTTTTTGTTCAATGCATTTTAGTACGAAGATAGTGACGCGATGGGAATGTTCCTCACACCCAACCAGAGGATTTGGGTGAACACGGTTTGTCGGACTTACATGAAGAAACCTCGAAAACAACCTAAAAGGCCTGAGGTACGAACTAACTTAATGAAACATTTGTAGAAATAAAACAAACAATAACAAACACAACAACAACAACAACAACAACAACAACAACAACAACAACAACAACAACAACAACAACAACAACAACAACAACAACAACAACAACAACAACAACAACAACAACAACAACAACAACAACAACAACAACAACAACAACAACAGCGACGACGACAAGAACGACGACAAACAATACAACGGAAACAACAACTACCAATACAGCAATATCGCAAGCAATATCAACAAGCAACGACAACAACAAATTCTAAATACGTTTCGTTTTAGACGGAATGGAGAGGAAAGATTTACGACTTGATTCAAAGTCGTTACTTCGAATTTTTCATCATGACAATTATTATGTTGAATATCATCACAATGATGGGTGAGCATCACCACCAGTCTGAAGGATTCACTGAAGGACTCGATTATCTCAATTACATCTTCACAGTGTTGTTTATCATCGAAGCGATACTGCGTTTACTGGCTCTGAAGCTCGAGTATTTCAAGTCTGGCTGGAATCTCTTCGATTTTACCATCGTCATATTTTCAATTACAGGTTGGTCTGATTTTTATTGTCATTAGTTATGTATTGTAGTTTTGTTCATGACAACATCCCGCTATCTCTACCGTCAATTCTAAAATGAGTGCCTAAATTACCAGGGTGACTAAAGAGTTCAATATATGTATTGACCTTGTGTCGGTGATAATGAAAACTTTTACTCTCCAACGGAAACAGCTATAAGGTCATTTGCTCGCTACTACATTTCAAGTTGACCATATATAGGACAGCTAGCACCATATAAAACATTTCATTGAAGCCTATGTATAAAAGCAGTAACATTGAATCGATTTTTTTTCAGAAATTGTTCTTGCTTCGTATGAAATTGAAATGCCGTTCTCTCCTGGTCTACTTCGTGTTGTCCGTGTGTTTCGTTTGGCGAGATTGTTACGGTTCTTCGAAGGTGCTAAGGGTATTCGCAGTTTGCTGTTTGCCTTGGTGAAATCTCTGCCTGGTCTGGCGAATATCGGCTGTCTTCTCTTCCTATTCATGTTTATCTACGCGTGCATCGGTATGTCACTATGGGGCAACGTCAAACTTACGGGATACCTCGACGACGTCGTCAACTTCCGAACATTCTTCTCCAGTCTCTTATTGTTATTCCGTATCGCGACGGCCGCAGGTTGGAACACGATTCTTGAGCCGATGATGTTGACAGAGCCCGACTGCGACCCGAATAAGAATGGTCTACCAAATGGTGACTGCGGGACACCGTGGTTAGCTGTCATCTATTTCGTCAGCTATATCTTGCTCATCTTTCTTGTCACCGTAAACATGTACATTGCGGTAATTTTGGAGAACTTTAACGAGGCTCAACAGCAAGATGAGATCGGGCTATGCGAAGAGGATATGGATGCGTATATAGCCACATGGGAGACTTACGATGCAGAGGCCACCCAGTTTATCCACTACCGTGAGCTAACCCATTTCTTGGACGTGCTGGACCCGCCGTTACGGATCCCGAAACCAAACGAAGAGGAAGCCGCTGCCCTGGATGTGCCAGTGAGGCAAGGAGACATGGTCCACTGTCTTGATTTGATGTTAGCGTTGGTTAAACGGGTTATTGGGGAAATGGAAGAATTGACCGAAGACGATAAAAGAAACATGTATGAAAAGTTCGAAGATCGTTTCGAATCCTCGTTTCCGCAACGGCAGCAAGCTCCAAAGCTTTACACGATCTTACAAAGATACAAACAAGAAACGGCAGCCGCTATACGTCTCCAACGAGCTTTCCGAGAATGGCAGCAGAAGAAACAGGCGAAACTGGACAAAGAGAAATTCCACAAATATTCAAACGAGGAGACACCGAATAAAGATGGCGTATGGCAAGAGAAACAAATTACAGAAAGCCGGCCAGCTTCACGGACAAGTAGACCGCGTACTGCATCTAGTCCCCGGAAAAGAGCACCCTTAGCGGAACAAGAGACTGTTGACAGTCCTTTGCCACAAAACAAGAAAAATGCGACTAGCCCAACTGAACAACCAAACGGTAATGGAGTTAGGGAAACTGCCGAGAACTTTAAAAATGACCCATTTGCCGCTGAAGCGATGAACATGATGTGGTTTAGTCGAGGCACTAATGGTCAAAATCAGAGATCATCTGAATCTGCAGTCTAGTACTAGACTTTAAGCTACAAGAGCACACTTTAAAGTCATTCCTTTGCGCACACTGTCATGCGCTCGTGACTATATGACTCGGGGGAGTTAAGACTTTGAATTCTCGGGGGGAAAATACCGACTTTGAAAACCAAAGATTATTACGACACTGTGCAAGTTAGGAACAGAAAGTTGGACTTCGAGTACAGAATGCTTGGCTTGACTTCTCCTAAACTATAAGACAACTCTCTTATTTAGTAGTCTAATAAGATATATATAGTTAAACTGCTTAATGTCTTTAGAGTTGGTGCTATTAGCCCAGCTCACATCTTTGCACCCACCAGCCCCGAGATTCTCCAGGGGAGATATTAACATAGTAATCAAGTGTATAGAAAGAGAATGCTCAATTTGCCGGTGCCTATATTTTTTAGAATTTGCCAAACATAAGCCGGCGCCGTTTTCAAGAAATTTAAATTTAATCTTCTCTTCACAAGGATAATGCTAATATTAATATAATTAAACTTAAAATAATCTTAATCGTAGTTTTAAGTTAATCTATTTATTGCAACTAAGTTTCGTTTAAAATACTAATCTGATGAGGTTGCAAACCAATCAGAAAAGTTGGGATGTTCAGTACGTCAGAACACTTTAACGGTAAAATGCAGTGTCGGGCGATAATATGATAGATTGGCCAATAAAATAGTGATATCTTGATTAATGAATGGCCAACTAGTTCTCAAGTTAAACTTGTTTTGTAGGGAAAACTTTTCTAAACCAGTAAAAATTACTATTAACTTATTTCTCAGAACTGGCATATTACATTAAATGTGCATCTAGATGATGAATGTGAGATTTATTTCTGCAAACTGAACATCCCTATAACTCTACTAAAATACTAACAGTTTGTATTCCCCAAAAAATAAACATTTACAGGGAAGCACCAACCATATTTGTATATTACAACAAACATAATGTGTTTTTTTATGATCATAAGTTAAGTAATTAAAATTTGAGAGTCATTTATTAAAAATTTTGACATTAATAAGATTATAGTATCTCAAATGTGGTGAACCAGTGTACCAGACTGGTTGTGTTTAATAACTTGTGCTGTCATACAATGATTGACCAATTGTGCCACAATCAGAAATTACCAATTATTTATTCATGCAATAGTCTAGGTGATATGATTGAATAATGAGTTGACCAAGTAAAGGTGACGTCATTCATTTTGATTTTTCAACGATAATTTCCAAACCAAACAATGCAACTAAAGTTCGTAAATTTAAAACAGTTCATCAATGGCAAGCTTCCGGCAATAAACTCGTCACAGCATAATAAATTTGACCCACCTACCCACCCAAACAGTCATTCAAGGTTTCCATTTCAAAGGCTTTTTTCCCTTTTTGATTAAAGATGCTGTGAAGTCCGGTCTGTGCATCAGTTCTGCTCATAAGAAAGGAAGACCCACAGATATAAACATTGCCCAAATTTTGCATTTCTCAAACTTTTTTGAATTGAAACATCTAGTTTATACTCATTTACAAGCATAGCGAACCAGAAAAGTGTTAGATATTCAGTTAGTATATTATATTTTACAAATATAGCATCTTTTTAAGGAAATTTTGGCGATTTGAAAGAAAAAGCAACAAAATCCAAAACAGAACGAAATATGAAGGAAATTTTGAATTATTAAAGGGAAAAAAGGAAATTTCAAGTTTACTGACATATGACCATTAATAATGGAGTTTTTTTTATGTTTATGAAAGTCTTTAGAAAGGATTGTACTGTTTCGATTTATTTTGTGTGCTGCTTTAACAGTAGGTTGAAAAAGACTGAGGTCATGCAGCAGCCAGCACTGAAACAGGACCCTCTTGTCACAATAGACAATTGCTGTAATAAAATATATATATATATATATATATATATATATATATATATATATATATATATATATATATATATATTTTTTGTGTAGACTAAGACATGATATCT